TTTATGATCAGTCTCAGGTGCCATAGACCCAGGACGAGGCCAGCGGTATAGGTCAGTTGACAAGTGTTTGTGTGCTGTGCATGCAGGGTGCTGGGGTCTTGTGGGTGGGAAATAGCGACAAAACAGGAGGTTTGGTCTGTGCGCATGAGGACCTCCTCCTAATCCAGCTGGGAAGAGAAGGAGTGTGCCCAGTGCTGTTCGAGGAACGGAGGGCCACGTGCTTCTCAGAGCATCTCCGTGACCTGGAAGGGCCAAGAGCCCTTGGGCTGGCTCCCGTGTTCATGGAAGGGGACAGGGAACCGAGGGAGCTGCTGGGGCCTTGGCTGCAGGGGGGTGGGAATCCTCATCCCAACCCCTGCCCGCACAGTAAGCATCTCGTTGTTACAGAATGAGAGGTTTCGACATTTACGAGGTCACACACTTCCTCTGTCAGCTTTGAAGACCACATGTAAGAGAAGTCTGTCTTCTAGAAATAAATTTCCTCACAAATATTTTCATAACCTCATTTAATAAGCAAGCTGTTTTCACAGCCCTTCTTAGAGTAGTGTTCTCTTTCACCTCTCACGTTATTTGAATGCAGTTCTGTTTTCCTGTCATCTTTGGTGATGATGCTAGTTTCTGCCTTCTCATATCAAGTTTTGTATCTTTGGGATAGTTCTGTCTGCTGCTTCTGTTCAGGCATGTCCATTCTCACTTATTTTTTGTTTTCTAAAGCTCTTAATTTCTATTACTCTTTCTAAAAATGTTAAAGAGGTGATAGAAATACAAGATGATTTATGAATGTCGTTTTTTTTACACTCTGTATATTCAGATATTGTGTCTGTTGTTTGGACTGTTTCTCTCCGCCTCTAACTTCGGCCCGTCCGGGGCTCGGTTGACTCTGTATCTGCTGCTTCCCTTCCTGCCTGGGATTGGACAGGGCCTGTGTTCCCTCTGAGAACCCAGCTCTCTCTGCTTTTCCTGCCTCTGCCTCTTGGGGTGGCTCCAACCCCAGCAACTCTATATAACACAAAAATAACCGATCTCTGTAGTAGCTCTTTAGCCCAGTGTTTTTCAAATTATGGGTTGTGACCCATTATTAGAGTGTGAAGCCAGTTTCGTGAGTCACACCCATATTAAAAAGATAGACTGTATCTGTTCACACATAGTAAGGGTGGAACCTTTGTTTTAGTTGCGTGTATGTTCGCGTCGTGACGTCTGGGACATGATATAAAATGTATGTCACAGTCCAACATGTTCAAAAGTCCCTGCTGTATCCTAACATATTACTGAGCTTTTATGGAAGAAAAACCATTTATAGTCTCTCTCCAGTAAAATGGTTTTGTGCCTTGCGAAAATTATCACAAGGCCAGCAGGACCCACAAGAGTCCTGTTGCAGATGTTCCTGTGTCAAAGGGAAGGAGTCGTGGGGGTCCCTCTGAGGGGTCCCTGCAGTCTCTGGAGGTTGAAGGAAGCTGGCATTTCTGGGAAGTCACAGAGGGCTTCTCCTGTCTTCCTCCTACTCATTGTTCAGGTCTCAGCTCAGATAGTTCTTCCCCAGGGAAGCCTTCCTTGATCCCCCGTCTCCATCAGGTTCCTCTGTTAGATGCCTCCACAGAGCTACGTTTCTCACCATTGGAGCACTTTGCTCGGTTTTTAATGATATGTTGCTTAGCATGGTCATTTTATCATTGTCTGTCCTCCCACGTCTCCTAGAACATGACCTCCACAGGGAGGGCGTCAGGTCTGTTTTTGCTCATTGTTGCTGTAGGAGCCAACATGATGCCTAACATGTAGTCATCACCTAGTCAACATGTGGTCCCGTGTCAGTTAACGACAGGGACACATTCTGAGAAATGTGTCATTAGGTGATTTCGTGGTTGTGTGAATATCACAGAGTGTACTTGCACAAACCTGGAAGGTATAGCCTCCTACACCCCTAGGCTATATGGTACTGGTCTTATGGGACCACGGTCATATATGCAGTCTGTCATTGACTGAAATGTTGCCGTATGGCCCATGACTGTATACACCACTGGCTTGGGTTCAAGTTAGGGGTACCCCCGGCCTCACAGTTGATTGACATTAGGCATCTCATAAAACCCTCTGCTGTACTCATGTCTTATCCTAAAAGGGGGGTGGGTGTCTGACAGCAGAAGGGGAGGTGCAGGTGGGAGAGGGATGGAAGCTCCAAGAGTTCGCGGAGGCCTTGCCCCATAGCCACTGTTCTGCCCACACACAGACCCACACTGACCAAGGGTGAACTGACCTACTCTTACTGTCTCCAGTACTCCAGGTGAGAGGCAAGTGGAATGCAGGCAGAGTTAGAGACGAAACATCTCTTGTGTGATGGTCTTGTCCCTGGCTACAGTTGGGGCTCTGCAGTTCCGAGTTCCTGCTGCGGTGAAGGGTGTTCAGGCCATTAAACAAGTTAGTAGGAACCAGCGCATTTGGCTTCTGTAGTAGGCGCTGCAGGTATAGACTTAGAGGCTCCTGGTTTGTGTTAGTCTGTGAGGGGATGAGCTAACGCGGTGAGGAGGAGGGGCTGAGTGCTCTTGAGCACAAGTGGATGGTTTCTTCTTTATACCTGAGACTATATGAGGGTGAAGGCAGAGGGGGAGAGAGGAGAAGCAGTAAGTATTTCTAGGGTGGCCTTAGCATGGAAAACATGTTTCCAAAACAATGTTTGGGAAACATCTTATCTTAGGTAGAGAAAATGTTGACCCTGCATCAGGCTTCCGTGGCCACGCGTTTATCCGGGGCACGGGATCGTTGCCGTAGCCAGGGCGTGCGTGGGTTTTGGAACTGCTTTCCCATTTGAGAGGCTGACCTCTGTGACCCCGAGCATCATTTCCACGGCAACCAGCTGTGATGAGATGGGAGTTTTGACCTCGCAGAACAGTTGCAACAAGAAGTAGGTGATCTTTTCGATAGAAAATATACTCTACAGCCTTGAACAAATCACATGTAACTGAATCTCAGTTTCCTCATCTCTGAAATGGAGAAAGGAGCACAACATTCTTTTGATTGTGAACAGAGGGAGCTACGCTGGGAAAGCATTATGTAGGTACACATGCTATAACGTGGCTATGGTGTCATAATCATGTGGTTGATCTTAACTAAACACCCATTTGACCTGATGGAGAAGAGCCGTTGCTTCCGTGTATTTGCTGCTCCAGTACCTGTTGGCAGCCCTGCCTTCCCTCTCTGACCAGAGCCTTACACACTCTTCTAGTTAGACTGGCTTCCTGGCTGGTTCTTGAAGAGGTGAGCTCACTCCCACCCCAGGGCCTTTGCACTGCAGTTTCTTGTGCTGTTCCCAGAGGGCTGTACAGCCTACTCCCTCCCTTGTTTCAGGTGTCTGCTCAGAGTCACCCTATTAGAGAGGCCCTATCAGACCACCCTATATTAAACAGCAACCCCAGAACTGCCTGCCCCTTAATGCCTTATGTTTCTTCACAGCACTTTTGACTACTTGGAATTTTATAAGCTTCATGGGGACAGGGTTGTTGTTATTGTTTTTCTTTTGTGTATGTGTGTGAGGAAGACTGGCTCAGAGCTAACATCTGTTGCCAATCCTCCTCTTTTTGCTGAGGAAGATTGTCCCTGAGCTAACGTCTGTGCCCATCTCCCTCTGTTTTGTATGTGGGATGCCGCCACAGCATGTCTTGATGAGTGGTGTGTAGGTCCACACTCAGGATCCGAACCTGTGAACCCCAGGCTGCTGAAGTGGAGCACGCAAACTTCACTGCACCACTGGGCCGGCCCCTTGTTTTTCTGTTTTTTAATTGAGTTTGGTGGTTTGAGTTTGCTTTATCTATAGAACTGGCACAAAGCAGGCCATTAAATCCTCATGAAAAACCTTTTCTCATTTTATTTATTTATTTATTTTTAGGAAACTTAATTTCAAAGGATGAATAACTTGCCCAAAACTATATAGGCAGCAAGTGGTGAACAGTGATTCAAACCCATGGTGGACATCAAGGCCTGCGTGTTCTCTTTGCCTCACGTCCACCTTTCCTTCCACCTTTTCCCTCTGTTGGAGCTTCAGTGCCTTTGCTCATCTCCCTGGCTCTGCCTTTATGCCCAGCCTGGTCCAGGTTACCCCACCCAGCAGTGCTCTTCCCTCTAGATTCCAGTCTCCCACCAGCACTGCCCCACCCCGGATCCTAGTAAGACTTCCTGGTCCAGAGTTGTGTTCTTGGAGCACCTTGTGTGGCAGTCTAGGGCACCAGCAGCTAATCTGGTCTGCTGAGTCAGGGCTAATGTGTGCTGGATGGGCCAGCCACCTTGGCTTCTATTCCATCCCCGAGAGAGTGTGAGCGTGCTGGGGTGTATGTGCTGGGGTGTGAGCGTGCCACGATGTGTGTGTGCCGGAGTGTGAGTGCACGGGGCGGGGGGGGAGTGCGCTGGGATGCAAGTGTACTGGGGTGTGCGTGTGCTGGGAATGGCTTCTCTAACCTCCTTGTGGGGTCAGATGTGGTAACAGCTGCAAGAAATATCCCTGAGGAGACCTCACCAAGGGGTGTTTTGATATCCTGTTCTTTGGGGGTGTTATTTTTTGTTTAAACATTTATTTTTGTGTTATCCCACCACACAAGTGGTGGGATACCTCATGTTTAATTTGTATGTTATCTTTTTCACCATATCTGAGATGCTTTTTGGCATTACCATAATCCCTGGAAAGGTGGGACAAGCAGATAATAATAACTGCCTTTAATCGAAGTCTAAATGGTGCCATACTCAGGGAGGCTTTGACTGGCAGAGAATTTTGTTCACTGGACAAATACTTGAGGTCCAAGTCTTTACTTTTATGTTGCAAACTAGAAGCATTCTGTTTTCCAGTTTAGAGACAACGATGATGCTTGCTTGGGCTGTTTTCAGCTAGTTTATGGATCAAAATGGCCCTAAGCAGCAGCCCTGGCACTATTTCTTGAAGTAACACTGTTACTGTGGTCTGTGTTACGAGCACTCTGGTCTGGTTTCCCGTTGTCCCACACCGTCTGCTTTGCTCCTTCCAGGGAAAGTGCGATGGCGGGACTTTAACCAGGAAGCTTACGTTGGAGGGACAATGGTCCGCTCCGGGCAGGACCCCTATGCCCGCAACAAATTCAACCAAGTGGAAAGCGATAAGCTGCGGATGGACAGAGCCGTACCTGACACCAGGCACGACCAGTAAGTACGAAGCCGAGCGTCGGCCTGGGGCTTCACTTGCTTTCCCACAACTCAGTGAGTGGCTTTGACTGTGATGCTCAAATTTTTCTGTTACTCCGGGAAACTGAACATGTGTTATCTTTGGGGGTGATAAAACTAGGAAAAATTCTGAGGCATATGACAATGAAACATCACTTGTAGGAAGTAAAAGGACCGTTGGGCATCGAGTTCTAGTCTTTCAGGTGTGCATGGTGGTATCTGGAGGCTGTGCGTTGCTGGCCAGAGCGTGGGCTCAACAAGAGCAAGTTACTGACTTCATGTTTACTGATCACTTGTTATTTTTAAAATCCACTCACCAAAAAAAGCATAATTTTCCATTGTTCACAACCTTGTTGGAAGGAAGAAAATCTAAATTCTTGCTTATCGGGACAGCTGAAGTTGGAAATGTTCTAGAGACTACAAGGGGGAAAGAAACAACGCAGCAGGGTAGGTGTTAAATTAAGCAAAACACGGAGATGGGTGGGACGGGGGAGTCTCACCACACTGTGTGCCCAGGAGAAAGGCTCTTGTCTGCATCCATCTTCGATTCTTCAGGGGTCTGGGACCTGAGAGTGGAGTCCCCCGGGGTTCATCAGGCTCAGCTCGGGAGTCTCCAGTCTTTCTCACATGCATTTTGTCACCACTTATCCGGAAAGCGATATCCATCACCCTCACTGCCACTCTGCACCCTTCAGCTTTGCTGGTAAGAATCTTTGATTGGGAGGCCATTCACATTGGGATCCTTAGAGGGTTCGTCTTGAAGTTCCAGATTATTAGAAAATCTGGAGCTACATTTGGAGAGCGGCTGTGTTCCTGGGTGCTTAGTAGGCTCCCTGCTCACCAGGTTGCTTTCAGAGTCGTTCATCCATCATGTAATGGAACTTGAATGTTACACTGGCTACGACTCAGACACCATGCTCAGTGCTGGGATTCTGGTCAGAAAAGTCTCATTCTGCTCTGGCTGGCGGGGGGATGGCAGGTGCACCAGGAAGTGAGGGCGTGCGGCCTGGGACTCGGTGTCTGCTCCAAATCGGGAGTGTGGGAGGGTCATAAAAGGCCCAAGGAGGGATGAGTCCTGAGCTGGAGACATCCAGGAAGGAGGGCAGTGACGAGGCTGTGACAGGCAGCCCTGGGCTTCCAGAGAACCAGCAAGGGGGCCAGTTTCTCTGGATGCATGTTCCAGGGATTGAGAGGAGGGTAAGCTGACGAGAGGCAAAAGGCCAACTAAATCACGCGTGAACACATGTTAAAGTCGGGCTTTGTTTTATAAGTTAATAGCATACATTGAAAGAGGGTTTTTCTCTCCGCCTTTCAGGGAACTTTACTAACAGTGTAGGCACCGGTTAACTGCCAGCTCTCACTCCCTTTTCTTAACAGCTTTCTTTGGGTTCTAGTCAGCTCTGTTTACCCACAGCAGCTCATAAATATATAGATGTACAGTCTTTCGGACCAGGGAAGTAAGTGTGTGTGCGTGTGTGAGATATTTTCAATATATGAAACATATGATCAATATATAAACACAGACATTGTACATAATATTAAGAATCTCATCATTTTTCTAAATCCAGTTCAGAAGATTGTCTTCACTTAATGTTTCCTATAATCCATTAATTTTTTTTAAAGGCAATTTTACTCAGTTGTGCTGGTTAAAGTCCACATGGTTAACTGATAAGTACCCTATCTGAAATAGGGGTTACTGACCTGGGATCCAAAGACCCACAGAAGAGGGGCTTTAGGCCCTACGAAAGTCCTGAAGCTGTGGTGCATGATTTCAAGGTTTTGTATATGCCTGCATATCGGGGGAGAGTGTCCCAAGTGTGTGTGTCCCCACCACCCTCCATCCCCAGGCTAACAGGACCCCCATACCTGCCTGTGCCAAATGCTCCTCAGGGGCCCGCTCATGCCATCCTCACCACTCCTGGTGCTGGACACGCAGGTTGTCCTCATTGGACACAAAAGGCTCTGAGGCTCCCAGAATGTTAGTAACTTGTCCAGTGATGAAGAGCAACTGACTTAAGGCCAGAAAGGGTCCATATGCATTTAAGAGGGGCTTGGCCTAAACTCAAGAGAGTGATTCAAGTTCTAGCAGAATCTGGCTCAAAAATCTTACCTGGTGATTTGAATCGACCACTTGGAATTACATCTCCATGAGATGGTGTGAGTGTCACTTCACTGCTTGGTCTAAGAGCTGGTTTTCCCACTATGACTTTTCCTTAGAGAAGGTGGTGTCCTCTCTGATGGCTCATCAGTGTGTGGGCTGGGGTTCTGCCTCCATTGCAAGTCCCTTAGAAGTCCACAAAACTATATATATATATTCTTTTCACTTTTTGAAATATGAGCTTGTCCAAACAGGTGTTTGAATATTCATCCCACGGTGGGTTGCGTTTTAGGTGGCTTTAATTTTAGTTCCAGCTGCTGTGTTGTGTTCATTTGCATGTGTTAAAGGAGCAGCTGGGATGCCTTCCACGTTTGTTGGGTTTGTGCTAAATTAAAGTCTACCCAAAGTCACATAGATGCCTGAACTGAACCAATGTACTGTCCTCAAAGTGTAAGCTTTAGAATTACCATTCTTGTTAAATGTCAGGGTAAGGAGATCAAGTTACCGCTTTGAATTTTCACCCCATGTATCTAATAGCTATTAAAGCATTTAATTTAATTAAAGCACTTCCTATATAAATACCATATTTTTTGGTCTATGCAGTGTCTCTCTTTGCATAGGCCTATGGAAATGCTTGCCCAGTAGAATTCAGTCTTCAGTTGTGATAAATCTGAAAGCAGTGCAGGTGCAGGTTAATTAAGAATAAGTGTCTAGGATTCACATAGACCTCGGTCAAAATCCCAGACTCTCCAGTTCTTAATTCTGTGGCCTTTATCATCTGTAGGATGATGTAACATTACTACAGCTGGTTTCTGTGAGGATTAAACAAGATGTTCACAAGGGCTGGCTCCTCCTCCCCCGAGATGTTGCTGAGAGCCACGTCAGCGAGGCCCCCTCCACCACCTTCCCTAGGAGCACAGCCCCAGCCCCACCAGCTGTCCCCATGCCCCTTCCCGCTTGATTTTCCTCCATAATTGTTATCACCACCTACACACCTTATGTTTTACTGATTTATCTGTTCCTCTATCTTTACTCATTAGAATAGTGAGTTACTATATCCAGGGTTGTTATTCAGACAGCTCATGGGATTCACTAAACTCAAATATTTGTTGAGTGAGTGAATCACTTAGCACAGTGCCTGGCATATGGTTAGTGCCCAGTAAATCATGAATCATATTAAGAGTCATCAAAGAATAAAGGCGAACAAAAGGGAGATTTCTAAGCAATAGAGATCATATGAACCCCAAATAACTGCACTGTGTTTGTGTTCTCCCAGGACTGAAAGTAGTGCAGTTACAATCCACCCTATTTTCTATCCTTTGGGAGAGGTACAAGGAATCCAGGGTTGAGAGCCAAAAAAAAACCAAAAACAAATCAAAACAAACAAAAAAACCAACACGCTTTTGGGCTATGTTTTATTTACCTTTCTAAGTGTATGAAAAATATTTTGCAGGGGCTGGCCCGGGGGCCTAGTGGTTGGGGTGCTCAGGTTAGGATCCCAGGCACGGACCTACGAACCACTTATCAAGCCATGCTGTGGTAGGCATCCCACATATGAAGTAGAGGAAGATGGGCACAGATGTGAGCCCAGGGCCAATCTTCCTCAGCAAAAAAGAGGAGGATTGGCAACAGATGTTAGCTCAGGGCTAATCTTCCTCACACACACACACACAAAAAAGAATATTTTGCCAAGAAAAAATATTTACATGGAAGCAGGAACGTAGAAAAGCCTACTGTGAGTGAAATACTAGATATGATGTACAGGAAATATTAGACTCTCTTAGAAATCAGAAGATGGTAGCTCATCCTGTTCTTAAAAGTACTGTTTCTCAACTCAAAAAAAAAATGCTTGTCTACCTGATTTAATGTTATTTGAAATTTCAAATAAACTATCAAGGCTAAAAGCAGATTAAACCAATGGGAATTTTGAAGGTGCTTTTTCAGACTACTCGTTTCTTCTCCCTCCCGCCGTGGGAAGCTGCTGTTATGGCCCAGCAAAAGGTACTGGGAAGCAGCACTGGAGGTGATGAGAAGTGGTCAGCTCTGGATGTATTCTGAAGGTGGAGCCCACGGGAGGTGCTCCTGGATTGGACGAGGAGCGTGGCTTGGAGGATGGCTGGAACAAGGAGAGAGATGGAGTTACCTTAGTGAGATGAGGGAGGCTGTGAGTGGAGCAGGTGTAGGGGACACTTGAGGAGTTAAAATTTGGACACATTAAGTTCCAGATGCATTAAGCATCTAATGTAGGCAGACCTGTTTTGTAGGTGATTGGATATGTGTCTGGTGTTCAGAAGAAAGGTCTCAGTGGGAATATAAATTTGGGAATGTTCAGTATACAGATGGTATTTAAAACCGGGAGATGGGATGTCATCCCCAAGGCAATGAATGTAGACACAAATAAAAAGACGCCCAAGGACTGAGCTTGGGATGACTCCAGCGCTGAGGTCTTCAGCCGTGAATTTGAAGCAAGGCCAACACTTGGAGTACAGTTTCACTTTGTAGATGGCTTACGATTTCATGTGGGTGCCGAGGCCCCAGGGGAGAAATGCTCTTGCTGCCTTCTTTAGCGTTGGGGTATGTTAAGGAGGTGGTTGTCTGTCTGCTGAAGCTCTCCCAGAAGGGGTTTGTGTTGTGTTTTTGTTTTTTGGGTTGTTTTTTTATTTTGCCTGGAAATCCATCTGACGGGAAAGTGAAGTACAGAGATGGAGTGGAACCCAGGAACTTTATAGAATATCATTCTGTCTACTGGAGATAGCTTGAGATGGTTTACTTTAAAATTGTTTATATAAGTAAAATCAAATAAACCTTTAGAGGAAAAAACATTATCTTCTTTTCTTCTTTGCCCTGTCAGCCAAACACCATTCCTTTTCATTTATTTATTTAA